CAGAGTTGGAGAAGAATATTCCGCAATTGTTGAAGGCATCCACAAATAGAGAGATCAATCATCAAGTGCGTAGTTTTTCAACAAAGGAGTGATCAACGGAGTTCTTCCTGAAGATCAACCCGTAACAACAAAGTATATCTCGATATTCTTGGTGATTAAATACATCACAAGGAAGTCTGCATCGTCCTACATTCGAGAAAGATGCTTCTCAAGCCCTCGAATCACGAAAATTTTAGATAGGAGAATCAAGGGATACATAGAATTATACTCACAAATATTTATCAATAAAATATATTTTTTTTCATATTATTTTTGTTGCAGTTTATTTTCCGGACTACGAAAATTTGTTGCGAACAAATTTTTGCACGCCTAGTGGGACCCATTCTACCCTTCATCTCTCTTTCTTGCAAGTTAAAAACTACGAACTTCAGATCTACTGCTACAATGGCCTTCCGTAAGTGTGATGTTTCATGCAAAGATACTATTGTTGCCGCATCCACTGAGCTCAGTCATGTTGGCCCAATCACTCGAAGCAAGTTCAAAGCTAGTGGCTTGGATGGATCTGAATACTTCGCCTCCTTGGAGATGGCAAAGAAGAGCAGATCTCATATGACGTCTGCAACCACAATCTTTGGGAGCAACACCCCATTCTCGCTATTTGACAAACTTTCTCAAACAGCCTCCAATCTTGATGAACTTGAGGATCTGGTGGATTCTCCGGTTTCAACGAAAGTCAATGCCTTAATGACCTGTGCAACTAACGTGGACGAAAAGTTTTCCATGATGGAACAAACTATAGAAGTTTTGAAGAAATTTGTTGAAAACAAAGACCTTCAAATTGCTCAACTCATGAACAAATTGGAGGCCTATGTACCTGGAGAGTCAAGCCACGTCCTCCTCGTTCATCTATCTTCACCTCGCAAAAAACAACTATTGAGGAATCGCTTGCCAAGTTCAGCATTCATAGGGAACATCAATTCACTTTGGTTGCGGCGTTATTTGTCCAACAATTGCAAGACATGATAACAAACACCATCAGAGCTCAATACGGCGAACCATCACAAATTTCATTGTACTACTCTAAGACTTATACTAAGAGGATTTATTATCTAACTATGCCAACCAATTATCAACCACTAAAGTTGCATCAATTTGATGGCAAAAGAAACCCAAGGCAACATATTTCCCACTTTGTCGAGACTTGTAGCAATGCTGGAACGCATGGTGACCTTTTGGTAAAGTAGTTTGTTCATTCGCTGAAAGGGAACGCATTTGACTGGTATATTGGCTTGGAGCCCGAGTCCATTGATAGTTGGGAGAAACTTGAGAAGGAATTCCTCAATCATTTTTACAATACCCGAAGAACTGTAAGCATGATAGAGTTGACAGGCACCAAGCAAAGGAAGGACGAGCCCGTGGTGGATTACATCAATCTTTGGAGGGCATTAAGTTTGGACTGGAAGGATCGCCTTTCATAAATATCTTATATGGAGAGGTGCATTCAGGGAATGCACTGGGGCCTTTTGTACATCCTACTAGGGATCAAACCGTGAACTTTTGAAGAACTTGAAATGCGAGCTCACGACATGGATTTAATCATTGCAAGCCATGGAAAGGCATCTCTATTCGCTGATCAGAAGGAGTTTAAGAAAAATGTTGCATCAAAGAACCAAACCAACGAATCTATGGCGGTGAAAGCAACTTCTGTGAAAGTTATGACTAAGCAAAAGGTCAAGGAGGATAAGACCCCGAGTTAATATCCCAAAGAAGAGAAATGTCGTCCAACCTTGAAGGAATTGGAGGCAAAGGTTTATCCATTTCCAGATTCAGTTGTACCCACTATCCTCGATGAATTGCTGGCCAAGAAAGTCATCGATCTCCCTGAATCAAAAAGGCCTGAAGAAATTGGTAAAGTTGGCGATCCAAAATACTATAAGTTTCATCGCGTCATTAGCCGCCCTACAGAGAAATGCTTCATCATAAAGGAGAAAATCATGGCTCGTGTAAGTGAAGGAAAAATCATCATAGACATGGATGAAACAACAGAAACAAATCATGCAAGTATCGCGCTCAAGGAAAAGAAGGGTTCAAGGTTGCATAACGTGTCAAGCACTGCCTTCTTACAATTTGGAAGTTTTGAGCCCGTTGAAGTTGATCTTCCAAGGGAAACTATTGAAGGTTCACTATACCTAGACAATCACTCCAAAGACAAAGACGATAAGGGTTGGATTCTAGTCACTCACAAGAAGCGGAAACATCAGGCAGTTTTGAGGCTACGAATTCCTAAGCCAAGAGCGATGATGAGCAATGCGGATAGGCTACAACCACTGAGAAATATCAAATCTTCTACTAGCAAGAAGATTAACAGTGCCTTATCACCAATGTTCTGAAAGCCCATCACATTGCATGAATTCTTTCTTGGAAAAATCCTTCATGGATGTCATGTTGGTGCAACTCATGTAGTTTCTAGTACTGATGAAACAGAGGAAAGAAACGATGAGCTTGCTCCAATGAAAATATAAGAACATCATGATAACAGAAAAATTGTCCCATGTTGTGCAACAATTTCCTTCACAGATGATGACTTGCTACTAGGGTCTAAGCCATATAACATACCTTTGTTTGTTGTAGGGTCCATTAGGGAATAATATCTCAATCGCATACTTGTTGATGATGGTTCGGCTATCAACATCATGTCAAGGATGGTGCCAAAAAAGCTTGGGATCTCTATCGATGAGCTATCCAAAAGTAACCTAACAATCCAAGATTTCAACCAAGGAGTACAACGAGCCATAGGTATGATCCGCGTGGGATTATCCATTGGTGAGAAGAAGTCAAACAACCTGATTCACGTCATAGATGCTAAAACATCATACAACCTACTGCTCGGACGTCCTTGGATTTATGAGAATGAAGTGGTATCGTCTACTTTGCATCAATGTCTGAAGTATATAAGGGATGGAGAGATAGTCAAAATTGACGCAGACATCAATCCTTTCACTAAGATGGATTCATGCTTTGCATATGCAAAATTCTACCTAGATTCTTGTGAACCTAGTGTGGAGAAACCATCATCAGTCGACGAAGCTGATGTCAAGTCAGAAGAAAGAAATGAGGCTCAATATACTACCACCAAACTGCCTAAGAAGAGAACTAAATAAATCTCCATTAAGCTGTCATCATCTGTAAGGTGACATACAGATAAAGACTGATAAGGAGCATCTAGTTTTTCGCTATGTTCCACATGAGCGTCGAAAGAAAGGGCAACCTTTGCTATAGGAATGTACTCTAAAGAATCAAATGAGTCACAAAGATATCCAACATTTGAAGGAGCATATGACTGTCCTAGTTGCACAAATCCAATACATGACTTATGAGTCTACTGAAGGCAATCTCCAGACTGATAAAATAAAAGAGCACTATGATCCTAAGGCCTTCATACTTCTTGAAAAGTCTAGTTATGACTTCTCCAATCCATCAAGACTAGGAGAACTCAAAGACGAATTCACTGGTGAAAAGATACATGGGCTCAATGAGTCCCAAATGAAGTTGAAAAAGCAAGGGCACTACGTCGCCACTCCAAAGTTTGGGTTGGGATGCAGTTTGGCATAGCCTCTTCGAATTTCATCTAAGAGAAGAAAAGAGATAGCTTCATCACAACATACCTTGGTAGAGGAGATGAAGGAAGATAAGGGTAAGAAAATAAAACAATGGGCTTCAGTGTTTGATCGCATTGGAGGCTCAACCCCTCCGGTATCGGTGTTTGAAAGGCTGAGTCATAAAGGTGAATGTGTATCTTCCAAACATCTAAAAGAAGTTTCCACTACCTAAATACCTCTGTCTTTTGTCACATGGGAACCACAAGGAAGTCACCATCTAGAAAGATACTGTCAAAACATAAGGAGCAAGTCCACGAGGAGCGAGATCATTTTGAAGTTGTTGCTGACAAAGACATTTGTAGTGCTTTCCCATCACATATGAAGAAGAAGTCTATTTTGTCAATATCCACAGATGGTCCACTGAAGGAGCAAAGGAGAACCATTGTTTACACTTGCCAGCCTAGTAAAGAAGCAGAGAAAGAGAAAGAAGCCAGGTCGACCATCCAAGGAAGTCGAAGAGAAAAGTCATACTTTGTGGAAACATCTTATCACATAACTGTGGAAGATAGCCCATGCCTTGACGTTGATGATGAAGTCCACGAGGCTCCCCCTCAACTAGAAGATGGCGGTCAATCAACTATGGATGAGCTTAAGGAACTCAATTTAGGCAATCCGAAAGATCCGCACCCCATCTTCATTAGTGCGCTTCTTACGCCTCAGGGGGAGGAGGAATACTCCAAGTTATTGACCGAGTACAAAGATGTCTTCGCTTGGTTGTATAAAGAAATACCTGGTCTTATTCCTAAGGTAGTCGTTCATCATTTAGGGATCAAAAGTGGAGCACACCCTGTGAAGCAGTCACAACGCATATTTCGACCCGAGCTAGTACCACAAATTGAAGTCGGAGTCAACAAGCTCATTGAGGCGGGATTTATTCGAGAGGTGAAGTACCCATCATGGATATCGAATATTGTACCTGTCAAGAAGAAGAATGGCCAAATACGTGTTTCTATTGACTTTCGAGACCTAAACAAGGCATGTCCGAAAGATGACTTTCCGCTAAAAAAATTATTGAACTCATGGTTGATGCTAAAACAGGGCATGAAGCTATTTCATTCATGGATGGGTCCTACGGATACAATCAAATCAGAATGTCTCCAAAAGATGAAGAGTACTGCTTTCCGAACTCCAAAAGGTATATACTGCTACAAAGTGATGCCCTTCAGTCTGAAGGATGCTGGTGCCACCTACCAACGCGTGATGCAAAACATATTTCATGACATGCTGCATCAGAGGGTTGAATGCTAAGTTTATGACTTAGTGGTGAAGATGAAGAGTAGGCGTTACCACCTTGACGACCGTCGAATTATTTTTGAAAGGTTAAGAAAATTCGACCTAAATATGAATCCACTCAAGTGTGCATTTGGAGTTACCTCAGGAAAGTTTCTTGGCTTCATTGTGCGTCATAGTGGAATTGAAGTTGATCCCGCAAAGATTGACGCCATTCAAAAAATGCCCGAGCCAAAGAACTTGAGGGAGCTTCGAAGTCTACAGGGAAACTTAGCATTCATATGGAGGTTCATCTCTAATCTGGCTGGACGATGTCAACCTTTCAATCATCTATTGAGGAAGGATATCCCTTTTCATTGGGATCAGTCATGTCAAAATGCTTTCGAAAGCATCAAAAGATACTTGTTGAATCCACCTGTGTTAGGGGCACTAATGCTTGGGAAGCTATTGATACTCTACATTGCAGCATAAGGACGCTCACTTGGGGCACTACTTTCTCAAGAGAATGATGAAGGAAAGGAACAAGCCTTGTACTACCTCAGTCGAACTCTGATAGAGTTGAGTTGAACTACACGCTTGTTGAGGAAATATGCTTAGCGTTACTTTATGCAATAAAGAAACTAAGGCATTATTTTGAAGCATACACCATCAAACTCATCTCTCGAGCAGATCCTGCGAAGTTCGTGATGACTCGACCTATTCTTTCTGGATGCCTAGCAAGATGGTCCATATTGTTTAACCAATATGAGATCATATACACACCTCAAAAGACTGTGAAAGGACAAGCACTAGCCAATTTTCTAGCTGATCACCCTCTTCCGGTGGAATGGGAGCTTTCTGATGAGTTTCCAGATGAAGACGTTTTGTTCATTGAAGAATTGCCACCAGGGACAATGTTCTTTGATGGATCTTCATGTCGTAATGGTGCGGGGGCAAATCTTTCCATTATCCATTGTTTTAGGTGAAACATGCTCCAACAATGCTGCAGAGTACCAAGCTTTGATCATCGGTCTTGAAATGGAATTAGACATGAAGATTCTACAGTTAGAGATATACGACGACTCTAAGTTGATCATCTACCAACTTTGGGGATTTACGATGTAAAGAAGGAAGATCTTTTGCCATACCACCAATATGCTTCTTGTTTACTCGAAAGATTCGACTAAGTATTCTTAAACCACGTCCCAAGATAAGAAAATCGCATGGCTGATGCTTTGGCTAACTTGGCCACGACGATGGCACTTGGACAGAATGAGTCAACAAAGGTACATGTGTGTCATCGATGGGTCATTCCTAGACTTCATGATCTTCAAATCAACGAAAGTCATCATACGTCCATTGGGGTGATTGAAGAAGAGGATTGGAGCCAACCATTGATAAAGTACCTTGAACATGGAAAGCTACCCTAGGATCCACGACAAAGAACAGACATCAAGCGAAGGGCACCACGATTCATCTTCTACAAGGGGACATTATTTTGCCGCTCTTTTGAAGGACTATTCTTGCGATGTATTGACAAAGAAGAAGCCCACCAAGCGATGGAGGAAGCACATTCTAGCTCATGTGGAGCACACCAATCTGGTCCTAAGCTCCATTTTCGCATCAAAAGGATGGGCTACTACTGGCCGACAATGGTGAAGGATTGCATGGAACATGCCAAAAGATGTCAAGTGTGTCAATTCCATGCCAACTATATCTACCAACCTCCAGAGCCTCTTCATCCAACTGTAGCTTCATGGCCTTTTGATGCATGGGTACTTGACGTTGTTGGACCGCTTCCAAAGTCATCAAAAGGATAGATGTACATATTGGTTGCCACAGACTATTTCTCTAGATGGGTTGAAGCTGTTCCACTCAAGGAAGTAAAAAAGGAAATTGTTGCTGATTTTATCAAGTCGAACATAATTTTTAGGTACGGCATACCAAGATACATAATCATGGATAATAGAATGCCATTTGATAACAAGCTCGTGAGGAGTCTATGCGAGAAATTTGGTTTCGAGCAACGTAAGTCTTCAATGTATAATGCACCTGCCAATGGCCTTGCTGAAGCTTTTAACAAGACGCTTGGTAACCTTTTGAAGAAAGTTGTTGCAAAAAACAAGAGAGACTGGAATGAGAAAATTGGTGAAGCTTTGTGGGTATACCGGACAACCTTCAGAGCTGCTACACAAGCAACTCCTTACTCTTTGGTGTATGGCGTAGAAGCAGTCCTTCTGTTGGAGCAACAAATTCCATCATTGCGGATCGCAATCTAAGAAGGACTCACGTCTGAAGAGGATTCTTAGCTTTGCCTAGCATAGTTAGAGGCATTGGATGAGAAAAGATTTGGAGCGCAACAAAAATTGGAGTGCTATCAAGCTCGACTAGCTAGAGCCTTCAACAAGAAAGTGCGGCCACGATCATTCCAAGTGGGAGACTTAGTCCTAGCTGTCCGACGACCCATAATCCTCAACAAACGCATAGGCGATAAGTTTACCTCAAAATGGGATGGGCCATATGTTGTGAAGTAAGCCTATTCAAGTGGCGTATACAAAATTGTTGATAATCAAAGATGGTCTAATTAATGGAATTTTTTTGAAGCAGTAGTTCCCATGAAAGTTAGATACACTCCTCGACGTACGAGCCTAAGCTGCAAGTCATGACGCTCCTCGACGTACGAGCCTAAACTGCAAGTCATGACGTTCCTTGATGCATGAGCCTAAATTTCACATTGCTACACTCTTGGCCCGCATGAGTCTAAACTGTGTACGGCCAAAAAAACAATGCATCCCTCTGAACTACGTTATGACTTGATCCTCTTCATTGAGGTACGTAGGCAGCTTAGACTTTCATTCTATGTTCAGTCGCATGAGTTTAAAAAAGAAAAGGTTTGGCTTATGGGATCATCACATTAACTCTTTCAAGTATGGAGACATATATAAATATGCAGAAGAAGACAATTTGCTTTGAAGTGTAAAAGATATTTTATTGCTTCAATCTTACAAAAGTTGATACATCCAAAAATGTAGAGACGAAAGGAATTAGACATCATCCTATGCAAAAGCCTAAGTAATTAAAATGATCGTAAACTAGGCTTTGTTGATGGCGTCTTGAATGCTTTTCCGAGTTTGTATGACGTCTCCACATTTAATATACCATTCCTGATGTACGTCTTTCACGTTCAATAGTTGTGACGATCTCTTGACCATTGATCCTGTTGTTAGGCCTCGAGTAGGATGTTGCTTCTCTTGGTCAAATGTTGGTTGGAGGTCCTATATGTGAGAAGTTGTCGCTCTTTTAAAAACAACCTTCATCATCGTGGGAGCCGCCATTTATGAACTTCAAGACTATTAACAATTCAAGTACAACAGTTGATGAAGGGGTGGCTTCGCATGACGATCTACTATAATAATTCTTTCTTTATCATAGAGATTTTGCGTGCTCAAAACTTCAACATATCCGCATCCTGTATGACATCTCAGTCTGATATCCAGACCCTTTGAGCTCCTTTGCAAGTCTGCAAAAGAAAACAAAGAAATAATATTTGTGAAGCATGATAGTCAAAGTTACTACATGCAAGATTGTAAAGTCAATTTCAAGAAGAAAAAAAACATTCGCACAATAACTCAGAGAGCATAGAGATGGAAAGCGAGTCCAACCAACAACGGGACCTACTTTGAAAAAACTATTGCGGTCCATCTAGAAGATGTTATGCCCCTAACATTTTGTATGTTGTATATTTAGATGTCTATTTTCCAACAAAACAAACCGTTTGCAATTTGGAGGTCCCTAGCTCAAGATACTATGTCTTTCGCCGGAACTACACGAATCTAAAAGTTACTGCAGCTAGGTGGATTTCGAGAATTTTCTATTTCCAGATCTAAAGGAGTTCTACTATGAAATTAATATGTGTTGCAACTGCAACTCTATCAGTTTACTTTCTAACAGCGCAAACGGATCGCAATTTGGAGTCTCCTAACTTGAGATATGAATTTTTCGACAGGAGTGCGCAAAGCTGGATGGCAAGTGCGGCAGACATCAAGAGCAACTTCAGAATATTATTGCAGCCATTCTGAGGGGAATCCTGCTATGAAATTTTCAGGTATGATAGGTGTCAGAGCTTTATTTCCAATTGCGTAAACGGATAGCGGCTCGAACACTCCTAGCTCGAGATATCAATATTTTGGCGAGACTATACAATGCTGTAAAGTTAAAATGCTGGACACATTTATCAGCTTCAAAAAACTATTGCGGCTAATCCTCAAGGAATGCTGAATTTCCGATATGGTCTAGCCCCTCGAGTTATGATTATTTAGGAAGAAGCGACTTGTGATTTCATCGCTCCTGCTGCGAGAAATAAATAATTTTGCAAAGACGCGCTAAGTGTTTGCTCGCCGAAGTTGGAAAGGCCTACTCCAGTTGTCTTCTTTGTCAACCTGCAATGATGTGATGTGGTTCATGTTGGCTCACCAATGATTAAATATTGTCTCTCCAAGCCTTCAAGAGTAGGGATTTTGTTGCCAAGGTTGAAAGGACACTTCATATGTCTCTCTCTCCAAGCCACAACAAAGAGACGAGAGGTTCGCTAACAATGCCTCTTCTTACGGATATCAAGATCGCTGGAATTCTCGTATAATCCAGCAAAAGAAAATATCTTGAAAGTCCTCGGTAGTAATAGCACGACGTTTCAGCAACACGATACTTCAATTTAACAATATCGATGCAGACGACATGAAGCTTTTGATTTCACATGATTGATTGGTGTCGACGATGCAAAGCTCAGTTCAGAAACCAATGCTTCATGGGCTATAGCTGATTTTGTTTAGTGGTTATGATGCTTTACGACAAGAGTGGGTTGCTCTAGTGGTGAGCACCCTCCACTTCCAACCAAGAGATTGTGAGTTCTTGGAGGGAGGGAGTTGAGGGTCTATCGGAAACAGCCTCTCTACCCCAGGGTAGGGGTAAGGTCTGCGTACACACTACCCTCCCCAGACTCCACTAGTGAGATTATACTGGGTTGTTGTTATTGTTGTTGTTGTTATTCTACTGCTTCATGAATACTTCTCCACAGCCCCACGCTCTAAGAAAAGAAAAGAAGAAAAAGGTTAGCATGAGTAACAAAAAGTTTGATTAAAACTAATCAGCATGGAAAGGGAAGTTAAAATTTGGAAGCCTCATTAATCTCTAGCCTCGACCAAGAGTTAGGTCGTTGAGTATCCGAAACTAGAAGTTCCACTAGCCATGTGCAACCAATAAAGACAACGGCACAGAGCTTTCACTCAGCAATAAGTACCGGTGTCAATGACATGACGCTTCAATGCGGATGGTGAGCATTGTAACGTGCACTTCTCCGTCAAATCTCATTGGATCGTACACTTCATGAACCTCTTCCCTACAAAAAAGGAGTGGTGATCATCCACTTCTTCTCATAATGCGTGTTGGAGAACTCGCCATCTATATCTTCTCCAAGCCTGCAACAACAAAAAAAA